CCCTACGGTGAGGTATACTTCTACAGCAGTTATCATTTTGGTTAAACTCTCAGGTAAAGCACCGTACATCGAGCTCAACGGCCAGGTCTACGCAGATTCGAGTGCTATAGTGAAGATGCTATCAGATAAGTATGGCAAGGACTTGGATGCCGACCTTAGCCTGGAGCAACGAGCCATGAGCATCGCCGTTCAACGTATGGTGGAGGAGCACACCTACTTCCTTACTCTCGCCGACATGGCCCTACAAGATGGAGCTTTCGAAGTATTGAATAAGAAGTTGATGAATTTACCAACGGTTGCCCGATGGATCTTCCCGACGTTTCTGTTGCGAAGTTTCAAGGCGATTCTGAACGGCCAGGGAATCGGACGCCTCCCCGAAGTTGACCGGAAGCGAAGAATGAAAGAGGATATCGAGGCTCTCTCGATCATCTTGGGAGAGAAAAAATACCTCGTGAATGACGATAAGCCTTCCACTATTGATGCTACCGTATTTGGTTATCTATGGTCGAACTTTGACACCGATTCGGAGTTTACTAAGTACATGTCCTGCTGCACAGAGAGTGAGAAGTATGATAACTTAATGGCTTACTACACTCGGATGCGTGACATGATGCTCAAGTCCCATGACAAGTGGGCTATTAAGGCATGATGAACTCGGTTAATGATTAATTTCTAAGAATTCGATTGTTTCCTTCCACCAGTAGATGCTTTGCGTTTGCCCCAGTTGAATGATGCTAGGTCATTCAAGTGTTGATGAAAGTACGTGTCATCAACCCATGTGCGCCTTCATAAGTGTCTGTTGACAATCCGATGTGAAGACTTGAACTTCGAATCCTCAAGATTCGTGCCACATGGGAGGAATTTGAGTACTAAACGTTGAGTACTATAAGGTTCCAGAGAAGAAGGACCAGAATCCATCATGAGGGTCAACGACATGTCCATGATATCCCTGCAAATACCAGTATCGGTTCCAGCTACCCAATGTTGAAAGCAGCAAACTCGGAAGTGATTTTCAGCAAGTCGCACTTTTCTGCTACTTCCTGACTTATGCGTTTCTGGATAGATTGTATTTTTCCCGGATTATTTTACACAGCGGCACTTGCCCAGATATTTTTCGCTTGCACTTCTTCGTTATCCTGTCAAGAGGATAACGATTGTACTAAGGGCTGTACTACAAGGTTTTCATGGATAATTCTCCGATCATATCTTCATGCACTAGTTCTTAAACGCAACATTTGGCGGTTGATTTGACCAACACATTGGAAGGGTGACAAAACAAGCACTCAGCTTGATTCGCAAGGCAACTAGGAGGCACAAAAACCAAGTTCAAAACGAATGCGCGAGTTGCCTTGCAGGCAAACAGATAACTGGAAAAGAAGTATGTATATCAGGTAAGATCAATACACGACAATAGTACTATACCATGATGACTCGTTTTTCATCAGCAGTAGTAGTGTTTGTTAGATCGCTACGCAAATCATGGAACCTGAACTGCTGAGCGTTCCAGAATTCACACACGTCTTTGCTGGCGAACTCCGAGTGAGGGTAAGCGTTATCCTTTACCAAAGGCTCCATCTGTACATCACGACCAAGATGCAAGTACTGACCAAGTGAGTTCTTGGAGTTAGCCATATATGTCCCCCAGTTGGGTAGATGAGGCTGAGGCGGACAAACAACATCACCTCCAACAGGCTTGCCACTTGCAGCCATACTCGCCCACATGCAGGACATCTTATCGGAGACTTGGTGGTAAACATCACCGGGTTGTCGCGGAGGATGGCCCATGTATACTTCGTACATGTTAGGTTCCTTCACCGTCACACCGTGATCTTCAAATCGCTTAAAGACAAAAGGGATCTCTGAGGAATGGAAGGTGCCCATTTGCTCAGGGGTGAAGTTACCGAAACCAAACATTGGACGATTGCCAGTGTTGATCTTGTCAACCCACTTGGGGAAGATAGGGTCCATATTGAAAAGGTACATATACGCATCACCACCATTATCAGAAATAGCCTGGGCCAACTCTTGACTGGGACAGTGGAAGATAGCATCCCGAATCATCTCCGAGGCCAACTCAAAACCTTGACTCTCCGTACCATAAGTGGTAGTATAATCTGCCACAGGATAAGCCGCCAGAGCCTCGTCGACAGCCTCTTCACTTTGCAACATGTAGAAGAGCAATGTGCGAACATCATCCATATCGGGTTGTCGCGGGACACCAGGGACTACTCCAGAGAGACCAGCAACAAAGGCAGTGCCTTCATCACGATTGGTGCCAACAATAGTAGGGACCTTATTAAAGTCGCCCTTCTTAACCATGTTCAGCGGCACATCAGGAAGGATCTTTCCGTCGATACATGGCCCAACTGGCATCATCGGGAAAATGGGAGATCCCCACTCGGGACACTGGTTGGGGTCAAATCTCACGTTCTTTGGGAGTGTGAACTTCGACGCATCAACGTGACGGAGGCAGTCCATATCATTAGCGTCTTTGCAGCCGACAAGTTCCTTGGCCACCCAATCGTAATAGCGGTAGGCATCTTGGGGCTGTTGGAAGAATATGTCAGTGTGACTTGTACTAGACTCGAGAACAGCCGAATGGAATAAGCCGGCGCTGCTAGGTGCAGCTATATGCCAGACTACACTGAAGGCCCCAGCAGATTCACCAAATAGCAGAACTCTATCCTTGTCGCCACCAAATGCCTCGATGTTCTTCTGTATCCACTTTAGGGCCAATTGCTGATCCAATTGTCCCCAATTGCCGGTCGTCCCTTCTTCATTGAAGGAAGCAGGCGATGCGAAATAACCCAAATCACCCAAACGGTAGTTCATAGTCACAACAACGACATTATGCTGAGAGGCTAATGCACTTCCATCATAGTCTGATGAAGCCGCGTTGCCATCCACGAAACCACCACCGAAGATCCAAGCCATAACTGGGAGCTTCGAACCAAGCGTTGCATTGGCAGGTCGCCACACATTGAGGTAAAGGCAGTCTTCATCACCACGGCCGTACTTATCCGGGCACTGACTCTGTTTAGTATCCATCTTTTTAACAGTTGTCCAGTGCTCGTCAAACTGTTGAGGGGCCCGAAATCGAAGGTCACCAACAGGGGACTTGGCGAAGGGGATACCATAGAAGACTTCAACATCTTGGACAATAGGCTGTTGTTTAGTCGTATTCTTAGCGATGTTGATTCCCGATATGGGACCGTTAGAAATGGCAACCTCCCCCTTAGATAGAGGCGATGTCGTAGTTGCAGTCTTAGACGCTGAGTCATTCGAGGAAGGAATAGTGGTCGGTGGGGCAGGAGTAATGGTTGTGGTCGACGAACTCGAACACCCCGAGAAAATAAGTGCGATCACCGCAGCACATAACTCAGCAAAAAATCGCATGTTGAGTCAAAAACACACCTAAGTAGAACAATAATCAGAATACGACTATAGTCAATGTGAAATGTATCCCTAGAAGGGCACGAGCCCAAAAGCTGAGGGAGATTGTGCAATGGGGACAGTCATTGTACGATACCACACAAGCCGAGTTAAAATAAAGGAAACATTTCTATCGACAAATTCTCGACGAGGATACATGCAAATATGATGGTACCTACAAATTGGAGTCTCAGACGAGAGTTGGACAGCACTGTGAAAGTCACGGACAAACGGTGCCACGAGGAGCGTAGCTGCTCATTAAAAAGTAAATAATATGGGGGAAAGCGTGAGATGACTCTATACCTAATCACTGGACTCCAGTGTAGAGGGCTAGTACAGTGCGAGATTCAAGATATCGAGAGAAGCTGTGGTGGCGACTTCAAACATCGTCTCGAGTGAAGGACTTCTGCAACAAAGCCTACCGGGTGTTCAGAACACACAAAACAGCTCCTGAGAGTGCTGCTGGATAGCGCTTT